CGCGCCTTGGCGAGCTGTTGTGCCAAACTGTTGCCTTTGCCACGTGTTGAGTGGTTACGAGGTCGGGCCAAATCTTCCTTCATCAATTACCCCCCACTCCTCGTGCTAAGGGTCTTGCCCTGGCGCGGGGAGTTCACGTGGTGGCGGGTGGATTTGTCCCGTACTTCGGTTTGACTGATAGTGCGAGGTGCGTTGTCAAGACTTTTTGGGTTTCTCGAGCGCCCAAAAGATGGAAAATGCGCCGATTTGCCTACACATGCTGACGGACGTGACAGCGAGCGCCTTATTTCAAAATTCAAAAAGCGCACCGCTGGGAGACGTGACAGAGCGTGCTTTATTTCAAATTCCAAAAAGGCGTGCCGTAGGGAAATGCAACAGCGGGCGACTTTTCAAATTTGAAAACATGCTGCTGTCACCTTTAATGTGAGGAGACGTGTGGTCAGTTTCGAGAGACGTGTGGCTAGTCACGTCTTGGTCTCAGGAGACGTGCGGTCAGCGCGACTGTGGGCCGTCGGATTGACTTTGATCTGAGCCATTGATTCTTGGTTACTGTGGGTATAAATAGTGGGGGGACCCCAGTTGCTTGTCACTTCTGCGCTTTGCTTTCTTGAGCTCGCGTCCAAGTTTCAGCTCGCGTCCAAGCCTTTAGTTCGCCTTCAAGGTCTCCTGCTCGTGTTCAAGTTCCTATAGTCCGTTCAAGCATTTTTCCGGGTGAGTACTTTCTTGGGATTCATCTTCTCTCCCCGATGTCTAGCTCGGATAGCTCAGACGATTCTTCAAGGGGGTCCGATGCAGGTTCTACGAACCAAGTTGCATCCCCTGATGGTCCTAGCGAACCAGAGGTAGAGCTCGAGGAAGAGTTCGAACCCGTAGGCCGAGCCGCCTCGGGTAGCTTGGCGTCCACCTCTCGTCGAGGTCAGACGTTAGATAAGTTCAGTCCCTCGACCATGACACCTGAGGGGCTCCAATCCCTTATTACCTATTACAACTTGCCTGGGGAGTACGCCTATTTCGTACCTTCGGGTAGCTTTCCTTGGGAACACGGTCTTGAAGAGATCGTGATATTCCGGGAACAGCTCGCTGCGGGGTTGCGACTGCCTTTCCATCCCCTCCTTGTCGAGGTCATGAACCACTTTGGCGTTACTGCCGGCCAGCTTCACCCGAACTCCATTCATAACTTGGTGGGGACAATCTCCCTATTTTGCGAACAGGGCTTCCCTTTAGATTTGGAGATCTTCTCTTCCATCTTAATGCTTAAGAAGCAAGTGGGTCCTCTTCCCGGGCGTAGGCGGGCGTATTACCTATCTCCCCGCCCGGGTTTTAAGCTTTTACACGAACTTTCCAACAAGGTCCCGGCGTGGAAGCGGGATTATTTCAGGGTGCGAAGTGTATTGGGGTGGCCGTTTCAAACCGGGTGGGGAATGGCTGCCCTCGACTCCGGTGTTACACTTGATAAAGAGATGGCGAAGGGCCTCCGACAATGGGCACGACTTGGGCTAAAATGCCATCTTTATCTGTCGGAGTCCAAGCTCATTAAGGCCGGTTTGAGTTCGGGTAGGTTCCTTACTCAGGTTTGTCTTTTGTTTTGCTTTGTTCTTTCGCTTTTTCCTGACGCCGAACTCATTTTGCAGGTGTGATGGACTTAGAGAGGACTCGCGGCGGGCACTTGTTTCACGGCATGAAGAGGAGAAAGCAGGTTGCAAAAGAAACTCACGCCAAGGTGCCCACAGACGCGGAGCCCGAAGTACCGGACTACCCGTCTGTGGATCCGCCTAGGGAACCTGAGATGGCCCCTCTAGTCCATGAAGCGGTAGGGGCTCCTTATGCCGAAGCTACTTATACGGGGGCTCCTGCTTACTCTGAATCCGCTTACACGCGAGCTGGGCCCTCAGGCTCGGGGGCCCAAGGCGAGTTCAGGAGCGTGTTATCACCGAACTACGCTCTGTAGAAGAGTAGGGAGGCTATCTATCCCGAGGAGGTCACGGCATGGTCCGAGCTTCCATTGAACCTGGTAGCTTGTCGTGCAGCCACTCATGCCATGGTGGTAAGTCAGATTTCTTGTCCGGCTCTTTGCTTTTATC